GGTTCCTGCCCACAGGTTCCTGCCCGCAGTGCCTGAGCAGCAGCAGAGAGCAGGTCCCCAGAGCCCTGCGAGGACCACAGCACCTTGGAGACAGGCGCAGACAGGCCAAGCAAGGGTGTCCCCTGGTCTGCCAAATGTAGAAGTGTGGTGTGTGACGCCTTGCTCCAGGTGCTGGAGTGTTCAGAGAGAACTGGAAAGATGTGCATATAAGAAATGAGATTGCCAAGTTTGTCAGACATGACGGCTGCCAAAGCCTCAGGGGCTGCCCGGGCATCCTGGGCACACCGCTGTTTCTTGCCCAGCTGGGGGGCTGTGATGGCACTGCCCTGCTGCCCGCGGGCAGCAGCTGTGGAGACATGCAAAACGACTCCCTTTGACGATGTCTTAGAGACCACCGTCTTATCTCATGAGCATCATTTCTTGAGCAGATACCCGTGAGCTAGTTCCAGATCGCACGCAGGCGGAGCGGTGCATTCAGAGAAGCACAGGGCCTCCTCTACAAACAGTCCCTATAGGCAGATGAAATGTTTCTAATTAGTGGAATGTTCTCCAGGCAGGGGAGCAGCAGGATTTTGGTCAGCTTTCCCGCTGTTTCAGGGACCCTCTGAGACTCCAAGGTTTTGATCTAGTCAGCACCTCATCCCCAATTTCTGCCTTCCAACATGTTCCCACTGCTGTTAATTACAGATAAAATGTGTTCTGGGACTGGACTGGATCCTGGGGCTCCCTATGTGTCACTCCTTGTCCTTGGACTGAGTCCTCAGTTCGGTGCCTTGCTGCCAGAGACTCAGCAGGGCCTCTTCCTGGGCTCTGTGAATTTACTTCACTCCACGCGGCCCCTTACAGCCTCAGACTATCCCAGAAAGAAACGCATTTATAAGTGTTTTTTCAGTGCTTAGTTCCAGTCCTGGTGGACTAAAAGGTTTCTGATTGTAATTCTACATTACCTTATTATCTCAATCAGTACCCAATTGCTCATTATTTGCCTAGTAGCAAATATAAGTATAGGTTAAGGCCTATACTTGCTCTTAAACAGCTGGAGATTGAAAGAGGCCTATAAAACCTGCTGAACTGTTGTCCTTGAGTACATTTGGTCTGGACAACTGCAGATAGGTACAGAAGGGAAAGTATAAAGTGCTCCTCTAATTGACTGCTCTGTGTCTTTAGGCCGGTCTGCACAGCCAGCTGGGGGGGGTGGATGCAGTGGAAGCTAGGAGGAGTCAGGGATGGAGGGCAGGAGAGATAAGGGAAGAAAGGAAGAGAAGAGTTGGGAAGATAGGGTGAGACTGGCAGGAAAGCCAGTGCTGGTTACTTGTGTAATAAAGGTTGGTGGTTTTCAGTGGATTAATTGTGTTCATCATGTTAGGCTGCCATATTAAGTGGCTATTTTAACATCTGTAGTCAACTGAGGGCCTGTGAAGGCAGCAGCTATTTCACTGCTTGGAGCTCAGGTGGGGGGTGGCTGCCATTGGGGTAGGTGGAAATTGAAAATGGATTCAAGGAAACTTTACACAACAAGAGAGAAGCTGAGATGGAGAGAGTGAAGTACACTGTTTAATACTGTGAGCAGTGCCCCATTCATGCCTACACTATCTGAAGGGATCGTTGAAGATGTATATAATTTTCTATATGTTCATCCTAAATGATTACACAGTGTTTCACATATTGGAGTGAACAGCCTCAGGACAGCTCTCAGGATAGCCTCAGACCGGCCCCTTATGGCCTTGGACAGCTCCACACGGCCCCTTACGGCCTCGGACTATCCCAGAAAGAAACGCATTTATAACTGTTTTTTCAGTGCTTAGTTCCAGTCCTGGTGGACTAAAAGGTTTCTGATTGTTGTTCTACATTACCTTATTATCTCAATCAGTACCCAATTGCTCATTATTTGCCTAGTAGGACAGGTTAAGGCCTGTACTTGCTCTTAAACAGCTGGAGATTGAAAGAGGCCTATAAAACCTGCTGAACTGTTGTCCTTGAGTTTGGTCGGACAACCACAGATAGGTACAGAAGGGAAAGTATACATAGAAGCACTTCAGACAGCCTGTGGCAGGGAGAGTAGAGGCCTTGATAAGGGAATAGACTGAGCTGGAGACAGTGGAACAAAATGTGAGAGAGAGAAGAAACAGATATTGCAGGAGTTCAGTGTGTTGTACCAGCACACTCCTCAAATGTGAACCTGAGAAAGAGATTCAGGATAAGGGAGATTACGAGAGAATTTAAACTTCATGGCCAGATGGGGAGAGATAGAGATGAAGAAAGGAAGATGGAGAGTAGCAGAGACGGCGATAAAGAGTGATAGAAAAAGAAAGGGAGAGATAGGGCAGGAGAGAGGAAGAGAGACAGCGATAAAGAGCAGTAGAGCGAGGTACTTGACTTTATGAGGTCTGGGTCTCTCTTACTATTGGGGACAAGAATTAGTGTATTAATTTAATCTGAATTAGTGCTGGTATTTTTACTGTGGCCTGTGTGGAGGTGTGGGAAGAGGGGGATGTAGCTGTGGGATTAAGGTTATTGCTGATCCCTATTTCCTATAGCGCAGCCAGCCCTTGGAGGACTGTGCTGCTCAGATAAACCCACACTGCAGAGCCACTTAACTCGCAGTTGAATCTTCTGTACTGACTGCAGAGCTCTCGCTCTCTCACTCCATCTGTCTCCCCCACGCATGCCAGATTCTCCCAGTTTTGATGGGAGCCTGTCACCATGACAACCTGTCAGCCAGCACCTTTTCTATAGTGCGTGTCTGTTGGAGCGAGTATCTCTCCATCAGCCTCTCGTTTCCTAAGGCTTTGTTCTGCTGGAACTCATTTTAAGTCCCTTGTGCTACCTCTTTTCTTGTTTTCCTTTACTCCCTTATTTTCCCCAAGTCTTTCTCTCTCTCTTTCCCCAGGTCTCTCTCTCTCTTTCCCCAGGTCTCTCTCCTCTCTTCTCCTCACTTTGATGTTATATTTAGCCCCAGTGACACTGACACATCCTGCAGCACCCTTTCAAGTGTGTTTGTATTTACCAGTGCAGGAGAGGTGTAGAGGGAGTGATGTTGCGATGCTCAGAGATGGGTTGCAGTGCCAAGCCTAAAATCGCAAAACTCCATTATGCCAGGTTGTCATGGAGACAGACTGCATGACACTGCAGTGGTATCGGAGAGAAAGTATGTGAGCATGTTCAAGTGCAAGTGCATTATCATGAGTGTGTTCTAGCGTGTTATGGTGTGAGTGTATTACACTTGTGTTACGGTACCAGTGTTAATATTGTGTTATGGTGTAAAATAGCGAAGAGCTCAGTCTTTTCACGAGGAGCCTTTTCAGCTCAGTGTTTCCCATCATGTATCTATAGTGTGTTTTCACTCCTGCGAGTAAACTCTGCACTTGTCTGCTATAAATGTCATCTGCCAGGAGATTGTTCAGTCCTGAATCTGGTCCCAGTCTTTCTGAATGTCTGTGCAGACTCTGCAGTGTTTGCTAAGTGCCCCAGTTTGATATCATTTGCACACTTGATTAGTTTACCAACTGTCCCAGAACTGAGATCATTGGTCTAAATTGGGAAGGGCAGTGGTCCAGGTACAGACTCCTGTGGTACCACACTAACTCCACCATCCCAGATTCAGGAATCTTTTATATCTGTTAATGCCATCTTAATCCAAGGGAATGCAGTACCTTGACCAACTAACGCCTGAAATGGAATAACAACTTTTTTATCAAAGGTCTTCTGAAAACGTGTGTGTGTGTTAGTGCTCTTGTTTAAATCACTCAAACAATTTAATCCAGACTTGCCTTTACACATTTTCTAAATCCATACTGACTGTTTCCTAGAATCCCGTTGCCACTCAGGATCCTCTGGTTTAGTTCTCATTATAGATTCCACAGCTGTGTGAGTGTGTGAG